CAATTGTACGCTCTCCTGTAGTGGTTCATTAAACCACAATACCGATAAGTGATTAATAAAAGTCAAAAGACCAAAGAAGTCACCTAAAAAAAAAAAAAAAAAGAAAACCTATTATCAAGCTTTTAATTATATTTTACATTTAAATTGTTCTTTAAATACAGTTTAAAAAAAATTATCAGGATCTTTAGATTAAATTTGTAATAAATTATTACTAAAAATAATAAAAAATTATTTTTTAATAATTTTTATAATTTTTAACTTGATTTAATAAAATGTTTAAAACATTATTAATTATGGTGTTGATGGATGAAATTGAAATTATTGTATATATTTAGTTAATTTCAACTTGAATGTTATTATAAATTTTTAGTTCTTAATCTAAATATGCTATCAGTTTGTATTACACAAAAGTCAAAAAATCTGAAGATTCAAAATTATCATAATCATATCCACATTATTATTATTAATCATGATCTCAATATCAATGTTGTTTTAAAACATGTAAAACTTTCTACTTTAAATCATTTGCCATCCCTACTTGTCACAAAATATAATTGAAAGTCCGTTGATAGATTTTCCTGTGCACAAAATAATTGACAGGTTTTCTCTTGACGGCACTCATATAATGATACAGCTGAAATTTCCCAGCCCGATCAGTCCGCTATAGCGAGAGTAATAATTGTGACCACAAAGAGCTTCCAGTTGCACAATTTTATGTAACACGTTTCTATAAAAGTTATTACCAGGTCTTGCCCCTCCAAACATGTTAAGGATCAATTACCTTAACCGGTCAGTTCCGCGAACACAATAAATCAAAATTATCTTTAAAACTATAAGATGAAGAAACGAACGTTCGCAACAGGCGTCTAATGTAGAATCCTAACAGTAACTTCGAAAGTTGCAGAACTGCGATTGGCATAGTAGCACTTTGAGTTTTTTATTATTTTTTTCCAATTTTTAGATTACACATGATCTGGACCGTTTTGATAAGGATGATTCGATCCAGTTCCAAACTCTAATACGATTAATGATTAATTCTATGTATAAAATAGCAAATGCATATTTAATTGGATTGGATTAATCCTATTCATTCAAATTGGATCATGTTACAATGCTTAAAAATAAATCATTAGTAAAAAAGTGCTGATCAACGAGTACTAATATGAGGTGCACGAACAATTTGTGGCATCGTTTTATCAACCAAAACCACTTGATATTCCTTTCTAACTGAATTAAAACATTTGATTTTTCTTCCTTCCTAAATAGAAAAATAAAATATAAACAATACAAATGTATATTGTATGTTATAAATTTTTTTTTTAATCAACATGCCTGTTGTGCGGTCTTTAATTCTTCGATAGTAATTACACCAGGAGTAACGTCGCCAATTTCGATAAGGTACGATCTCATTACACCAGATAGTAATCCTGCTTAATTGGCACTTTATTAGTTATAGTAATATAAAAAAAATAAGATGTTTCTTTTTTTTAAATAAAATAAATCAATGTTTATTATTTATTACCACATCTGATTTCCGGAGTTTTCCAAAATGGTTTATTATTATCAAAAAATTCTACGGCAATATTGGAAATAGAACATTCTGTAATTTCATTTCTTTCATTATATAACAACACGTCAAATATATCATCTTTGCTAGTTGAACCCGGAATCAAATCTAAGTGTGTCTAAATTGTAAATTTAGTTAGTGAATTAAGAAAAGTAATATGATATTGATACGTACACGTCGACGAGCATCATCATAGATTTTCCTATTAATAGTTTTATGATAAAGAAAAATATTATCGGAAGAAGTGAAAGTTGTGTCTAGGACTATTTTTAATGGTTCTAAAAATGAAAATGAAAAGTTGAAAATGGGTTATAATACTTATTTTCATTATTAGGGTGCCTGGCCCAAAAATTTTGTGGCATACCTTTGTCAAAATCTATGCCAGAATGCTATAATTAGGGATCTGCAAATGCATATTGGCACCAAGCCAGGCACTAACGCCTTATGCCATGCCTATGTCTATAGATACAAAAGGGCATAAAATACTATGCATATTAAATATAGGCACAAATTGCCAGACACTAGTAAAGCATAGACACAAGGTATCAGAGTAGTGCATGCACAATGCTAGGCACCAATACCAAGAAAATTAAATAATAAATATTAAATTTTTGTACCTATTCCATGTCTATGCCAGTACCTGTGTCAATGTCTATACAAAATTTTAATATTTGTACCTATACTCATACTTAAGTTTGAAGGTTTTATATCTATGCCTATGTCTAAATTTTTTTAGGCACAAGCATGTGCCCAGGTTACAGAACCCTAACTATGATATTTATATATGGAGTATCAAATTATTTTTAAGTAGATTTTTTTTAACTTCAAATTAAATATGTAACCAAACCAGTCACCCTACTTTTATACAATGATAAACTAACCTGGAGATGATGATAAAGGATGTAGAATAGTACTTGACATAGTTGGCATCCCGTCCTTGTTCATAGTTAATCTTACCTTTAATTTTTGAAAAAAGATACAAAATTTTAAAAATAACTGGCAGCTTTTACGCTGAAACCAGCTTATGTTGAACTTTTGATCTACTTTACTATGAAATTATAAATTTTTCGGGACTTTTTTTTCACAGTTAGGTTAGGATTTAGGATTAATGTTATTAATAAGAGGATATATGTAGATTTAGTAGGTATTATATTTAAATATATGAAGCCAACATTTCAGCATAAGCCGATTTCAGCATAAGCCGCCACAATAACATTAAAAAGAAAAAGAAAATTCATAAACTCGTAAGAAAATTACCCTCTGCTTAACATTTTTTCCCAACTTTTCAACACATTGGTATAATTTCATTTCAATCAAATTGTCAAATTTTGGAGTAGTACAGTTGTTAAAAAATCCATAATTTTTATTTTGAGAAAAGTAAATAAAGGAATTTTTTATACGTGATAAGTGTTTATCAAGTAAAAAAAAACCTAATTTAAGAAATATGCATTGTTATATATATTTGACAAAAAATATATATATAGATATAAAAAGAAAAAATGTTTGTACCAGCAGGTGGATCATAAAGGATTGTTTCGAGAAGTTCAAATTCTATCGAATTCATGATAAGTAAAAATTGATACGTAGGATAAAAAAAGATTCTTCACATCATTTCCGATGATCATGTATAAAGAAATTCAACAATGCGTAACGTAATTGTATATTAAGCACGTGGTTATGAATATGATAGATAGATGGCAAAGATAATAAAGGAAATGTTTGTCACCATGATTGATTGCACAACTTGCATGAAATAATTCTATATAAATACGAAACATCTCCGCCTAAATTCTTTTACATTTTAAATTCCTAACGCGTATTGAAATGTCAAAGTTTAATCCTCTATATACCATTCTTGTCACAGTTATTGAGGGTTAGTATTCTTTTAAGAATTCTTAAAAATCATTATATTCTCAATTTTTTAAAATTTAATTCATTTTAAAAATAGGTCGATATTTTACGCAAAAACCAAATTCGAAGCTCTATGTCGAATGTAGATTTATCGATGACAGCCTTTCATTAATCAGTTCTGATTCAAATTACATTTTATCGACCGATACAGTAGAACAAACATCATTTCCAATATGGAATACTGAGCTTGCTTGGGAGGTGGATCAAAAAACTTTACTCATTCTTCGTTCCCAATGGGCGCATTTAAAATTACAATGTTTTTCGGTAAATTCATCAGATAAAAGTGAATTGATTGGTTATTCTATGTTGGACCTGAGAACTGCATCGGACCGTCCTGGAAAAGAGAAATGGATTTCTCTTCTTAATCCTAGAGTAAGGGGTCTTCATCCTGAAATTAACATTGGGTTTTGTATATTACCAAATATGTCACCACCATCGACACCTACTCCTTTAGGATATGTGCCTAGTCCTTTGGGTAAATCAGTTGAAAACCTTTCTGATGTCCAAAATGACGTAAAAGATACAATTAATAATTTAGAAGAAAGAAAATATGATAACGATGATCTATATCGAATCGGCACAGATGGATCGGAAGTTTTCCTTTTTTCTATTACAATTAACTTTGGCGCTAATTTACATCTGTTACTGCAAGATACTATTTCATTTATCACGCAGCAACAGTTTCCTGAAGTCGATGAACCTGGTCTTTCAACTCATGGTTACTTTTTTCAATATACAATTTTTGAAAGTACAATCACATCAACTAGATTTTATGACCTTACACATCCAAATATAATACCTGAAACTGCAACCTTTCGAATTCTTTCGTCTTTAAAAGATATGAAAGATTTTCTTGAAAAAGAATCTTCTTTAGTTGTTAGTTTGTATCATGATGATCAAATAATCGGGTTTTCTGACATTCCCTTGAAAGGCCTTTTCGATTTAAAAACTGGTGAACCACGTTCTTTAGACAGAGTTTGTCCGATTTATAATACTAAAAGAGAATTACCTGTATCGGCAGATGTACAAATTGCAAGGATTGGTCTCTACCTAACTCTTAAAAGAGAAAATACAGAAACATTAGTTGAAAATGAGCCATTAACTTCATCCCCAATTACCATTGAAAGATCACAATCAACACTATCTGAGAATGTGGATCAAGCGCTTACTCGAGAACAAAATAGCGAACATAAGTATAGCATTTTAATTGTTTTAGAATCGATCAAACTAAATAAGGACATCAAAAACATATTTATTATTTATAGCTATCCTGCGTTAGGTATTTCTAATAAATCAACACAGGTTATTCCAAATGTAGAAGCTGGTTCAGATGTAATATTAGTTAATGGAACTAATGCAATTGATGTTACAATGACTCAACAGAGACTCAAAAGATACTTTGAAGCAGTACCTTTGCTTATGGAAATATGGCAAAATAATGAACCTAAAGATGTACAAATAGGTGTTGCTACATTGCGTTTAGAGGAAGTTTTCTTGTCTTTTCCTACTATTGATGAAGAAAGCAAAGCAGAGGTTCAAACTTTTACTACTTTAACTCCAATAAAATCTGTAGGCTTAGTCACGTCACGAGAAATGGGTCACATAAGTGTTTCCATAAGACTAGATGATCATGGAGAGAAACAAAAAACAATATCTAGTGGCGGAACTAATTTATCCGAACTTCCCGAAGAGTCTCAATCTATTGAAAGACAATCATCTCGCTCTTCTACACCATTATCAGTAACGAAAAATGATTGCGAAGGTTCTTCACCATTTATGTCAACATTTCGTTCAGATATATTCCAACAAGCCGAAGAAAACATCAAATTTACTAAAGAGGTGCTTGCGGTCGAAAAGAAAAATGCTAAAAATCAAAGTTCACTTAAGTCTAAAGTTCAACAACTGAAAGCAATAGATAGACAGTTACAACAATCCATTCTATATTTTCAAATGCGAGATGAAAGTTTATTAAGATCCGAAAAAGATTTTGAACGACGTTGGTTGGAATTAGACAGACAGTCCGAACAACGAAAAAAAGAAATGCAATCACAATTACAAGCACACACTCAAAACCTTCAAGCGGAAATACAAAACCTTAAAATCCAATTGGACTCTACAAAAAAGGCACAAAAACAGTACGAAACTCAATGGTTAAGATCTTTACAGGTTTTAGCTGGTACGCATGAAATAGAAAGTGAGGAAGCTGTGTTTTGGAAAGGATTAAAAGAAATGGATCAATGTTGGTGGCAAGTTAAAAAAATGGCAGAAGAAGAGATCGAAGTTATAGATTATGAAAAGTTTGCATTGGATATATTAAAAGGAGAGATTGAAAGATTAAGAAAATCTTTTAGTAATTGATTATTTAATTTTGGGAATTTACATGATTATTTTATTGCCTATTATTTAACAAAATTCAATACCACAATAAAATTTGATTATACTATTATATATGAATTCTTGCATTATAATATTTGTAAATAATATGTTACTATTATTTCTTATGCAACATTCAAGTCATCGACTTAATTGTTGACTCAAATTACTGATTAAGTGTTGTATTTAAAAAAGAAAAAAATAACTGTCATTATTTTTGATTATTAATGCATAAATAATAAAGATACACAAAGATACAAAATTTTCATGTTTTTTTTACGATAGAAAAAAGATAATCTCATAATTTTGATCAAAAGAGAAGGAATTCATAAAAAAATTCATCGATAATTAGAATCATTTGTTTATTATAAAGAGATTAGGTTATATGACTGGCCCCCACCATGATCATCTTCTATAACTTTTACCACTGGCCAAAAATCCAACCAAACATATCAAACCTATAATACGGCCACGACTAATGTTGGTACATCTCGAGTTATTGACGCTAGCTCATCACAAACATGTATTTCATCAATATTTACACCTAATCAAGTTTATGAAGGCAATGTTAATAATCAAGAAGGGAATCCAACTTCAGGCATAAATGAAAAAGCTGAAAATTAATTGTTTGAACTATCAAAAATGTGTGAATCTGTGCAATCATGAGTAACGAGTATGTACATAATTCCAATCAAGAAATGAGAGCTGAAACTGAACCTATTATTCATAAAAATATTTACAACATTGATTCCTTTTACGACAACACGATCGATTCGATATGTTACGCATTATCAGATGAAGAACGTAAGGAACGTGGCTATTTTGGCACCTAACATAAAATCACGTCGATAACATTATACATGTCAGAATTAATCTTCGATCATTTCCCGCAAATGATCTGTACTCCACTGATCAGGAAAATAACTAATGCAAAAAAAAAGAACGTTAACCTTGTTCGTCCCCAATAACACATGATGCGATCTTAACCGTCGAACACGTTTCTCCAATGAAATCTTTGCCAACTCCCGCTAACGTCCAGAATTACCATTACCATTGGATGTTCCTGAAGGTTTTCTTCTTGAGCGGTGGATGGTTGTTTGGAAACAAATACGAACGCCAAACTGGAATTTCATGTCAACATTAAAGCTTTTTTTTTATGCAATAATTAAATAAGCATCTTATTATATTGCCTAATGCAAAATGCAAGAATGATGTAACGTGTTTAGATATCGTTAATAAATAATCGGATATCGATATAAAATTATTATATATATGCAATGTAATAAAACATCTGTTTTTCCTTAACAGAACTAAAGCCATTATTTTTATTAAATATATATATGGCTTTTTGTGATAATACACAGATATTACATAGTTAATATCTAGTATAAAGTACAGATAACAAAATGATAATTAACTGTTATTATAGTAAATAAAGGTTAACCCAATACCGAGATGGGGGTTTTTTTTTTTTTTTCTTTGACGTATCATACCAATATGTAAGTACCGTCTTTTTTTTTCTTTTTTTTTCCTGTTAGAAAAATGTTTTGTTACAAGTAATCCTATCCGATACATGTTTACACAAAAATGTTTTTAAATTTATATAATCAACTTTACAACAAGTCTATCAAATGGAATCCATTCATTCTCTCATATACAGTGCTCTTAGCCGAACTTTGTTAATATTAAGATTGATATTATTGCGTAGGCTGTTGCTGCTGTTGCTGCTGTTGCTGTTGCTGAGGTTGTTGAGGTTGCTGCCTTTGCTGTTGTTGTTGTCTAGCATGAAATGCTATATCCTGTGGCTGCATACCTAAACAGATAAAATTATAATTCGATTTTATTTATTGTTCTCATAATCTTAACATCAGACTAACCCAAACCCACCTGGATTAGCAACTTGCGCTGTCTGTAAAAGTGATGATAGTTGCATTCTACGACGAAAGTTAATTATGTCCGAAGCAGATGGTTGTTGCAGCATTGCGGCAGCAGCAGCCTGATTAACCTGCCTTTGAAGAATTTGCTGTTGCATATTTTGTTGCATGTTTTGTTGCATGTTTTGTTGCAAATTTTGTTGCTGCTGTTGTTGCAATTGTTGCAACATTTGCATTGCTTGCTGTTGTTGCATTTGTTGTAGTGCCTGTGACTGCATCATTTGTTGTGTGACCTGAATTGGCTGCTGCTGCTGTTGTTGCTGTTGTTGTTGACGCATCAGCATTTGTTGCTGCATTAATTGTAACTGTTGTAGTGTCGGGGCTTGTTGGGTTGCTTGCTGTGTTTGCTGTGGCTGTGTTTGCGCTTGTTGTGGCTGAGAAGCAACAGTTACACTTGTTGGCAATGGTGAGTCTAAGAAAAGTAAGCCGACAAGTTTTAACCCCGTTGTAATCGCCCCTGCTGTAAAAAGAACTATCCCTCCATTTGGATTAGGCGCATTAGAGAAACGTACGAAAGCAGCCTGATGTGATATAATAGAATTACGTCTCGTTAGTCTCGTTACTAATTAATTTAAAATCATATTCAATATCAAGCCTATGATGCATACTAGTTTTTTACTATCCAAAATACGCATTAATACCATAAATGTGTTATGATTGTCTTGAGATGCTTGAGATGCTTGGGGAGTCGGAGTCGGTAGAAATGAAACGACATGAGGTTTTTGGTTTTGTACAGCTGCAACATCCCTCATGAAGTCTTTTGCAAGATTTATACTGGAGATTTCCATTTTGTCAGGCCAAGTATGTATCATACTAATAAATTTGTTTATTTGACAGATTAGAAGCGGATATTAATCATAAATTAAACCAAGTATTATAAAAATGCCTTACTAATCGTTTATAGAATGTGGACCAGTTTTTCGTTGATTGCCAGGGAAAGCAGTCACATGACAAGTAAGCTCACGTTTTAGTCCGGTCTGTTGACTATTGGCCGACCATGCGATATGACCACTCCACAATGCGTTTACCTTCGGAGGCATATTCGGGCGAACCTGGTTAATATTTGTTCCTAACGATACTGGTGGTTGTCCTACCGATGTTCCGGTTGGATTAGCAACTGATATCTGAGCACCATTGTTACTCGAAGAGGCACTAGTACCGATAGAGCTAGGATTTGTAGAGGCTATAGTTTTAGCAGGAATTTGGACCCCAAGTGCTGAAGCTACAGATGTTCCGACAGACGTAGATATCTGTCCACCTTGCGTCGATGTTGGTATGCTTGATATATTAAGAGTTGGCGTAGAAAAACTAGTAGTTGCGGTACCTAAAGTTGGTGTGTTTCCTCCAATAGTAGGTGATGTCACAAAACAATTTATGGATTGTGTATCAGAACCATGTGCAGAAGGTGATGTCACAAAATTATTTATAGATTGCGAGCCGACGGTCACACGAGAAGCTGAATTATTTTGCCCCAATTGAGTCATCTTACTTCGCATTATAGCATCGGCAAGATTTTGCTGACTTGCAGCCAATTCATTCTGCAAAAATTGGTTTTGTTGCCTTAATATTTGTTGCGTATTATTTACATGTGTCCTAAGCAGTTGTCCATTTTGACGTAGAGCTTGAGTGTTATTAGCTGCCGCTGCTTGCGCCATTGTTATGAATTGAGTACGTTGTTCTGGAGACATTGCATTCCATTGAGCCTGAAATTGAGCCTTCATAGCAGCAGCAGCAGGAAGTCTAGGTCCCATCATTTGAGGTCGCACGGGTTGAGTACCTGAAATTTGTATAGGTTGTTGTTGTATTGGTGCAGTACCTACAGGAGGAGGATGATGAATTTGTATTGGTGTTGTTGATTGTACAGGCTGCTGTGGTGTTTTTGCAGCATGTCCGAGCGTTTCTTGTGGGATTGTCATTTGTGGTTGTATACTATTTATTGATGTCAAAGCAGGAGAACCTCTTGGAATTGTAGGATTAGATGCTTGAGAAGGTTTAGAAGGCGGTGGCTGTATAGATTTAGCAATGGGTATAGATTCTTTTTGATTAGATGAGGTCTCCGTGGATAGCGATTGTTGAACTGTTTGATTAGGTTGTTCGTCCGGTACTTCGAGCTTAACTCTCTTACTTTCAGGAGATGAGCTTGTCAAAATTGATGACGGTGACTGGTCATTATTGCTTGCGTCATTTGTTGATGTTGAAGTTTCACATTTCCTTTTTTTGTCAGATGCCGCTAAATATTGGCAACAATTTTAATTAATTATTAATTTATAGTTAAGTGGAAAAATTCACGATACATTAACTTAAGAAAAAATTCACCTTCGTTTGGTTGTGAGAACGTAAGTTTGAAATTAGCCAACTTTACGACATGTGTGACTTCAGTAGCATTATGAACTTCTACATCTTGATTAACCTAAAATATTATAATTAATGTATAAAAATATAAAAAAGGAACTAATAAAGAAAATCTTTAATGGCATATTGACATTACCATATCAACAAGTTTTTCTAAATCTGGAAAATCTCTTTCCGGCGTTATTAAAGAAAGATAGATACATTGCTAACAATAAATAAAAAATCTTTAAGATATATAATAATAAATAGACTCATTTTAATATTATTTTATATGTATACATACCTTCTGCATCTCTTCCGCTATTTGTTCAATATTAAATTCATCGTATTTACTACTTATATTACGATGAACAGGGTCAGGACAAGGATGGCTATTCGACACAAGAATACAATGTCTTTTCGGTTGTGGAGCATCAGGTTCCATTTGTAATTTATGTAAATCAAACATCTCAAAGAAGAAAAAGAATCCTTAACACACTGTGCGAAATATACAAATAAAGTATAATCTATTTATTACTTCATTACCTCAAGAGCTGCGACTAAACCTTCAGCTACTGCGTTTTCATATATGCCCCCATTTAAAAACTCTATTTCGGATATTAGCTCATCGAACCGCGCAAAACTTTCAAAATAATGAGATTTTACAGGTATAGTTGAATATGGCTCATAATGTCCAAAGGTAACGAGACCACACTTCAAGACGGGCTATATTCAAAATGATATAATGATATCTTTGCTTCCCTATTCTGACTATTTGCGTTTAAAAAAGTATGTTGAGTTACAAAACTCACCACTTTTTCTTTTTTTTCTTTATCTTCTTGTTCCCTCACGTATGGAGCTTTTAGGTGTCTACATTTATAGGTAAATACATAAAGTTTTTTTTTAATCTAAGTAATAAGTTTGCTACAAATAAGTTAGATCCTACACCTCAATTCCTCAAAATTTTAAAATAAATGCAGAAAGTGAAAACCTTTAACGGTCTTTGAAAACTGTTCCGATACGTAACCGAAGTTATATTATTATATCCTTACTTTAGTATCGGCCTCAAATAAGTTCCAAAAATAGTTTCAGAATGGTCTTCTAATCGATACGTTGCATCTAAAACAACTACAACCAGACACTCTGGCGGTATAGTGCTTTTACCCTTCTGTGTCATAGGAGTATATAAGCGCGCGAATAATGCTTAAAATTAATAACCGACAGCGATAGGCTTCGGCGAAACAGTCAAAAAAAAAGCAAAAATATATATGAATTGTGATAAAGCCGCACACAGGTTGTGCTATTTTATAGATTCAACTAAAAAAAAAAAAACCTGAATGCACTGAACTCTGCCTAAACTAATAGAACTTCCATATAAAACGTAGAATGGAAACTAAAGGTTGTGGTACTACATAACGTTACAATTTATTGTGCACAAGTGGCAATACAAACTTCCTTATTTGTTCTTTTAACAATGCTCTCTATATTTTTTAACACAAATCCGATGATGACTAGGTCACGAGTTGGCTTTTATCACTATCCAAGCCCTCTTTGGCACATGATGGTGTGATATTCTTGTTCATTCGCATCACACCCAACTTCAGGATTCTTTAATGTTACATGTTCCCTATTTGTAAGATACAGTGGCTTAATGCTTATTTTATACCTATCATTGATCGAATTTAAATTGATACAATGTTAATACGTAAAAACTTCTTTTGGGGTGTTGTGGGAATACAGATTTAGTAAGATGTTAATTTTCTTTGGCAAAATGTGTTATTAAATGAACGGTAAAACCCACTCCTAAACTCCGGTACAGCAAAATGGATTTTATGAAAATTTTAATCTAATATATTACGTAATTCAGTCTTCTATAGCAAGTTTAATAAACGTGTGAATGAAAATATCTTTTTATACATGTATAAGAATCCTATTCTTATTTAGATATATGATAATTATACATATGTAATTCATGTAAAAAAACAAAGATGACGAACCTGGCTTAATTATCACGTATATATATAAAAAAATATATAAATTTGTTTTTTTCAACGGTCATGATACGTGGCAATTAAACAACCTTTTTTTACCCAGTTAGTCCCATTACTAGGCGAAGCTAGTATGTTTTCTTAAGATCGAATCCAATACATAATTTTTGATAATAAATTGGTTCTAATAACATAAAAGTTTTAAAATGACCCGGCAACCCGGTTTTTAATTTATATTCCAAAAAATTATATATTATATATATAAAAAATACATATAAATTTTTAGAAGTTTATAATTGTGCACGGGGTATATGATATATGGGTATTAATTTTATTAATTCTGTAATTTAAAATTCGTAACAATTTTTACTAACGAAAATTAAACCCTTGCTTATGGTTAGGGTAAGTATGGGTTTGGGATTCGGGTGAGGTATAGTTTACACCAAATATCGCAAAGAATTTTTTTTGTTAGAATCCAAACGGTGGTTTCATAATCGAAATTTTGAGACATTGAATGGTTTTGATATCACCCGTGTACAAATACGTAGTAATTGTCAAATTTTTATATAGTTTTTTTTTGAAAAACTCATCCAGATAGTAGATAAACATAAAATTTTTTCTTAAAGTTTTGTAAATTTTAAGCTATATTAGTATTTATTTTTTCTTAAATGATTTTTTTTTGTTTACTGTATTAAAACTAATAATTTGAACCAAGAAAAATTTTCTTAATCAGTTAACCAAACTGAAATATTTTATGCTAACTGATTTAATTGGTTAAGATTACTTCACACTTTACCTTCGGAAAGGTTCAGACTTTTACTCAAATTTTTTTCTTCATCTTGTTCATCTTTTATGTTCATTTATTTTTTTTCAAACCTTTTTGGAATTCTTGCTTATTCCTGATCTTTTCACCTGATTACTTTAGAAGTGACTGTTTTTTGTTATACAAACTGTAGATTATTTTCAAAATTATCTAGCCAATCAAGATATAATATCACATGCCAATCAGCCAATTACAGTTGAAAAAAAATTTTATATATAGTTTTGCACTTTTTGAAAGGCTCAAATATCATATTTATTTTATAAACTGTGATTAAATACTAAGAAAGCTTAGTTTTCATATAGTACTTTCATAATATTAGTTGAATTTACTTAAATCTACTAATTTTTATATTAAGATTTGCTTAGTAAAAACATGCTTAAGTATATCAGATATTTAGTTGTTAAGTTATTCGGATTTTGTTTATTAGACAAAAATAAGTAAAAAGAAGTTAAAAAATAATAATTTAGTAAAGGCAATTTAAAAGAAATGTATTATTATTATTATTATTGTGTATTAAACTAGTCTCTTTTAAAACTAAAATTTTATTCAGTAATTAGGATATAGGAACTTAAAAGAGTTACTTTACATTAGAAAATATAACTAGTTATATATATACTTTTGGTATCTAATTAAGTAGTTTACTAATAATTCTATACTAGTTGTCATACTTGCAACCTAACTAGAAACATTGCTTATTTAAACTTTTTGTACTGCAACTCTTACTGTATTACTAAATCATCTCTAATATATACATCAGTCAAAAAGGTTTAGATACTTTTATTCATATTCTTAGGATTTTATATTTTGTTTTATGTAGTGTATTCTCAAAAACATCATTATTAAAACCTTTTGTGTTTTATATATAGCTAATCTAGTTTTATATAACATACTATAGTTATCTAATATTTACAGTTAAGATTAATCTTTAACTGCTATATTATACTATTTCTATTTTTGTAAAATTTACCTAAATTCTAATATTTATCTTTTTGACTTCTTCTTTTTATCTCTTTATTATTTAACTCAGAATCTAATAAACTCTCTAAATTTCTAATTCAGATAGTCTAGTATAGTATATCTTAGTATTTTTTTTTTTTAATAATTCTAACAGTCTGGTTGGTTATATGTTTCTTTATATATCTTTGTTATCTAGTTGTATATCTGTCTATTCTTTATTGGGATTTTATAGGCTTTTATCAGTTTGACAGTACTGTTGAAGATTAGTACTATTTTTTTATTTAGGAATTTTCAAGTAGGATTCTGTCTTCTTAGTTTCTTAGTCTTTTGTATTTAATAATCTTATCATGAGTTTTACTAAAGTTTTATATAATAACAGTTATTAATATTTCTCTATATACATATAACATTATACTTCATATAGATGCTTTAAGCTTCTATATAACAGGTAGAATCTGACTTGATATATCTAAAATCACAGATTATGTCTAAATCTAACTAATTTTAACAAAAGATAGTTTTTTTATAATATAGATTAATTTTCAAATTTCATTATAGATAGAATTAAAAAAAAGGTATTAGTTTATATAATTGCTATTATATAAATTATATAGAAAACCTTTTAAGCAGAAGTTCTAAAAAAGTAAAAATTATAAAACTTAAATAAAAAAGTTATACAGTAGTTAAGAAAAAGATATATAATATAAAAATAAATAATACAAATATAAATTTAATCTTATTAAAGTAATTTTTTTTTAGTTTATAGAAAGACTTTTTTAGTTTCATAGTTTTATTAAGTGTTTTTTAGTTTTTACTAATATAAAAGAAAAGTATTATATTTTGTATATCAATAAGTTTATAATTTGTTATATATATAATTTCAATTATTGTTTATTTAAAAATTCTATCTGCAAATTTCAATTGAATTTTAATAAAGTTAAAAATATAGCCTTATTATTAATATTTAAAAAAAAGATTCTATTTGCAAGTTACTTATTATCATATTTGATACTGTAATAAAATTTACTAAAAACTATCAAGGTGTAGCAAATTTTAAAGTGATGAAGGTCGAGTGAAAGATCTTTTATTTAAAGGAAAATAAAATAAAAGAAAAAAAAAAATATAAAAATAAATGAAATAAATAAAAACAACTAAAAATAAAGAATAAATATTTAAAAATGGAATTTAAATTCAATAGCCTCCTAGATACTA